CTTCCTTCCTTCCTTCCTTCCTTCCTTCCTTCCTTCCTTCCTTCCTTCCTTCCTGTATTTAGGACAAGGTCTACAGGGTCTCACTACATACATCAGATTTGTAATGATTCTCCTGTTTTCAGCCTCCCAAGTGCTGGGATTACAGGTACATGCCACCACGCCCAGTCTCAATTGCCCATCTCAACACTCCCTGGGGGCGGGGCCAGCATGGCACACTGGGGATCGAACCCTCACCACTATGTGTTCTTTCTTTTCAGAAAAGTTTTGTGTGTAAATGAATTTGCTTTACATGTGTAAGGGAGTGATCTTTTGTCATTCATCCTACAGAATTGTGTAACTATCACCCCAGTGTAGTTTTAGCCTAAGATATTGTGTATGTGTCATAACTGGTTTGCCTGTAGGTATATGACAGCATCTTCTTTTCTAGGGACATTTGGCAGAAATCATTTCCTTGTCATTTGACACCTCAGGAAGCAGAATCATTACAGGGTCTTTTGATCACACAGTTATAGTGTGGGACACTTCTACTGCAAGGTAATTCTTAAGAATTTTAAAATTTGCAGCCAGGGGTGAAGAAGATGCTATGTTATTTGTTACTTTAATCTTGACAGTACTAACTATGCTTTGGTTTTCATAGGAAAAGAATACACTCATGACATAAACTAATTTATTCTTCATATGTTTGATCTACAAAATAAGTGCTCCTAGAATTCTGAACAAAACATGCAGTAATATAGGAGGAGAATATTAGCAAAAGCCTTATTATATAGCTATGATTTGTCCAGTACATTCTATAATCAAATTTCAATGACTTGTTATGATGGTAGGTATGAAAAAATATATATGAATATACAAAATTTATAGTTAATTTACCAAATTTAATTTAGTCCAAGAACTGCAATTTGTTTCCTAATAATGTTGTCCCTAGTTGCTAAGAAGGTGTTGGAAAACTCCTCTCTTGCCAGCATGTTGATAGACGGCCTTATTATTAGAAACACCAACTGAGATGGCCTTAGCAAGAAATGAAAAGCGCTATGTTTTATATCTAGGTCTCCTCGCAAAGCCTCATGCAGTCCTGGGGTTAGGATGAATCTAGAGACTGTGATTGAGTCATAATCTAATGCTGGGATTAGGGGTGTGAGGGCTACACCTGCCCTATGCCGGGGAGCCTGAAAACAATATAAGGGACGGGAAGAGGCTTGCCATCTTGCCTCGCTCTGGCTCTCTCTCCTCACTTTTGCTGTCTTCCACCACCATGAACTGTTTCCCTTTGCCATGTGCCACCTTTGCAGCCAGCTGATTATAGACTGAAACCTCACAAACTGTGAGCTATATAAACTTTTCCCCCTTTAACCTTTGGTACTGGGTATTTTGTCTCAACAATGAGGGAACTAAGACCGCAAGCCTTCTGATCTCTTGATGTGTTGTCTCGGAACAACCAGGGTCCACTTCTCTTCTGCTGTAAAGGTACTGCTGGAATGTGTTAGCCCTTTCTCACTGAAATGTTTTCTTAAGTAATGTATTTAAAAATATTTTATTAAGTTTTGTACAAAATTATTTTAATTGTATGTGTTTATGGAGTACACTGTCAATTCAATACATATTTACAATGTGTAATGATCCAAATGGGGTAGTTAGCATTTCCACCTTCTTATACATTTTGTTTCAAGATTACTATGTAATGACTGTCCATATCCTGGAGTCCAGAGTAGCGTTTCAGTACATCTTTGCAAGGAATGCAGTCAAAACAAAAACTTAATGGAAGTGGAGGACTTCACGTTGAGTGAAACCCTGGAAAATGTTATCTTTGTTTAAACTTTAGGTGCACTTTTGTCAAAATTAGTAGTGGCCTTTTGTGCTCTAGCAGGACAAGTTTTGTTCATTGTCAAAGATATTTTGTAAAAGCCAAAATTTAGTTTACTTTCAGGGATGAACTTGACCTCATGATTGTGGTATGTATGCTGGAGAGAGCTCTCTGGACAGTTTTGTTCGCTTTCCTTTTGCAGAAAGGTGCATACCTTGATCGGCCACTGTGCCGAGATAAGCAGCTCCGTGTTCAACTGGGACTGCTCGCTCATACTGACCGGCTCCATGGACAAGACCTGCATGGTGAGCTCCGGAAGCACACGCACTTCCTCCTGGGCCCGCGGTGTTTCCATTATCTCTGGCTTTCGTTGTCACTGGAACAAATTTCAAAGGTGATATGAAATTCAGATGTTAATTGATGTATAATAATTACTAGTTTTCTATCTCAAAACTTCCAAGAGTGAAAGATTTATAAGGTCAGGAAACAATGTAGATTTCTTTAAAAGTATTAATATCTTACTTTATTGTTATCTTTATTTTTATTTATTTATTTATTTTTTTGTATTTTTGGGAAGGGTCTACATGGTGTTCAAGGTCTCACTACTAGATCGGACTCATAGTGATCCACTTGTTTACAGCCTCCCAAGAGCTGGGATTACAGGAGTGCCAGCACTCACAGTCTTAATTGCCATCTCAGCTCACCCCAGGGGTGGGGCTGGCACAGCAGGCTGGGGGTTCGAACCCCTGACCCCTGCACCTTCTTGCTTTAATCTGCTGAGCTATTTGGCCTGCCCTTAATATCTTATTTTAAAAGACATATTATGTTTGTGTCATATCCAGCTATTCATTTATTGAACTTTGATTAAGGAGAGCTCAAGGGTCTCAGTTAAGTTTCTCCCTGCCTCTAAGATTCTGTATGCTGCAAAATAGTTATTAAGAAAATATACTCAGTAATTATCATTCAATTATATATGAAATATATCATAATATTATGATATACTTTTCATTTTCTGGTATTCTATATTGGAATCAAGTCCCTTATCACCTAATGTTCTTCCTGTTAAAAAAAGGACTGTTCTTAAATCACTAAAGCATATACTTTGAGATTTTTTTTTAGCACTGTGGTAAACAAATGCCACAAATGTAGCAAACTAATGTCTGACTTTGGTCTTCTCTGTGACCAAAGTGTGCTTTGCAAGATAGTTGCTTGTGGTCTCTGTTCATTAATCAAGGAAGAAGTAACTGAACAAGTAAAAACTTTACATATAATTTTGGCATAGTTATTTAACTATCCATTAGCATGTGAAAAGACTGCTAGCAGTCTTCACAGAAAATCAATTTAAGCAGGAAATCAATGTTTTTCTTTCATTGCAGTTGTGGGATGCTACAAATGGAAAATGCATAGCAACCTTAACAGGCCATGATGATGAAATACTGGACAGCTGCTTCGATTATGCTGGAAAGCTTTTCGCAACTGCTTCAGCGGATGGTAGGCCTTCTCCTCATATGCTTATCTCATGGAGGAGTTTATGCTCTGCTTGAGAAACGTGGGTCTGTACCATAGGCCATCCCTGAGTACAAGATTTGGTGGGAACTGTATGTGCTTTACCTGCAAGATGACCATCCATGGCATTACGGTGTGTCTGCATTATACTCTTGATAACCACATATGTTGCACATTGTGTCCTGTTAACCACACATACATGTACACAGGCCTTTGCTTCTCCCATAATAATGACATATAATGGCGTAATCTGCATCATCCCCTGCATGGTGTGACGCTGCACTGTGCTGACATCATGAACTTGGCCACCACGATGTCTGCACCATCTTGCTGTAACTGCCTTCGGGACCACACTACGTGTGCCTTGTCTTTGTGATGAATGCATGATAGTCTATGAATTTTCTTTATGGCTGCCGCCCATACTTCTAAGGTATGTTTGATCATCTTATTGATAACCATGGATATGGTGCAGTATTACATGTGCCTCACGTCCATGAAGAGTACCTGTGATGCTAGCTCTGGGTCTCTCCTTCTTCTATTGGCCATGTGTGACACATTCTGTATCGGTACCCACTGACCATGTATTACTGTGTGTGGCATCTGCATCACCTCCTTGCAAGCTACACTATTCCACCGTGCTGTTTTTATCTCCATTGAAGCTGTGGTTGTTGCTAGGCCATGTCTGCTTCCTATTCCCGTTAATTACTTATGACTATCATGTCAACGATATTTCTTTGATTACAATGTATCATACTGTAGTGTCCTGTCCTATCCTATCCTATCCTATCCTATCCTATCCTATCCTATCCTATCCTATCCTATCCTATCCTATCCTAATGTATGCCTTCTCCTGATGCCTAGTAAGATACTACATTAGATATGTATTTTCCCCAGATGACCAGGTGGACACAACACTATACATCATCTTTTCAATCACCGTGTGTCATCACATGGTTCACTTGCAGTGTATTCATAAAGACCATGTCTGATGGTTCACTGTATCTGCCTCACTTCACTGAGAGTCACACATGCAATACTGCACAGTGGGTATCATCTCATTGACAAACACCAGTACCTATATACTCTGCATACTGCCTTGGGAGACTGGCACATGTATAGATAATTCCATCATTTTCATTCTCTTGGCTCTGTTCTCCTGAGGCTCTTCTCTTTCTGCCCTTATGCTTCCTACCATATCTCTTTTAATATATATATAGGCATGTATATATGCATGCATTTTTTTAGGTTTTTTTTCTGCAAGTGAAATGATGCAACATTTAATTTTCTGTGTGTTGTTCCACTAACTTTATAGGCTTAGGTGGGGGGCACAAGAGCATCCCCTGCGTGCCACTCGGAGGCTTTTCTCCCAGGTCACTGCTGTACTTCTGCTCACCAAACTTCTTTCTGACCCATGAAGTCATTAGTTTTGAGTCTCTGCAGGTGCAGATCTGAAGTACTCACTGCGCTTGCAGTGCCCATGTGTCCCTGTTTTTCACTCTTCTTTGGGGTTGCTTCCAGCCCTTGAGTTTGGTGCAGCATGCCCCTGCTGGTGCTGAATTCAGTGCCAGGAGAGAACCCTCACCGGCAGGTTCTGAGGCATTTCTCCATCCCTGAGCCTCACAGGTCAACCACTGTCACAAGCACCTGTGCTTCTCATTGTCTGGTTTCCTACTCAGAACCACGTCCTTCTACCCCTTCAGTCCCTGGGGCTGACCAGTTCTGTCCCCACCATTGCCTTCTGAGTGACTCTCCATCTTGCACTTTCATGGTGATCTGCTCTGTGGAGGCAGATATCCCCCTGACGGGCCGCTGTCGCCCCGCAAGAGTAGAGCTGCTCTTGTGGACACTGCAGTGGGCCATGATGGTGAGGCTTGGGGCCCGCAGGCAGCTGCTGCGCTGGGTCTCTCCCCTCAGAGGGCACTCACATTCACCAGCTCTGGACTGGAAGCTGTACTGGGGTTCCGAAGCTGCCCTGCTTGTTATTCTGAACACCTCTGCTGCTGGACTCCATCTCTTGGCCTTCTCCTCAAGTTGCCTTCCCTTGGCTGGATTTCTGTCTCCCTCCTCTAGATGTGTACCTGCTACTTTGGTGAGCATCTCCAATGTCCTGTGGGTCCTGCTGGCTCTAGCTTGTCATGATGGAATCTGCTGTGGATACGCTAACTCCGTGTCATCCTCTGGCCACCGTTATCATGTGACACAAAGGCTATGTTTGCTTCCTCAGAATCATGTTCCATTCTTCACTATTGTCATATCCTTGAAGATCTTGTAAAACACTGTACTTTGTGTTATCTTCTTACACCTTGTGCACTGCTATACTATTTTCCTATTGTCTAATGAGTGCATGAATCATTGAGTGATTCCATTGGCTTTTCTTAAAATCTGCACAAGAGTCTATACTACATGTACATCAAGTTCTTGAGAATGATAATATATATCATCTCCATAGCGAAGACCTATAGGTTCTACTGTTTGGCTTCAGACATTAGTAGCACTATATAAGGCTGCATAATATTTCACATTATTACTCTCACATGTCACAATACAGTACAATGTTTCTCTTGACCATTCGTCTTGCTGTGTTCTGTGTCATGTCATTGACAATTACGCAACTATTTCCATAACTACATATCATATTGTATGCTGATGTCTGCCCCATGACTATGAGAACCCTGCATAGCACTGTGCTAAAGTTTATCTCACTGTGAACAATTCATTATGTCACACTGTGTCTATGTTGTCACCTTGAATGTTACACCTGATGATATGTTATTCAGTTCTGCATAATTTTGTTGACAACTATTTTTCATGTTCCATAGTGTCAGGCAGATATTTCTAATGTGCTTGTGTGCCTTTGGAGTGTCCTTGAGAGCTCCTGCCAGCTATGGAAGATGGAGCATTATTTCTTTGTTTTATGGCATTGAGATTATGTAGGATGGTACATCTGTGTCATCACCCTAAAACCAGGATGCTAATTTAAGCCTAAAATTTTATTTGGTAACCATGTATGATTATACACCATGTCTACATTTTCTTAAGAGGAACAAATTTTAATGTGGTTCCATAAATTCTTCAATACTTACACATAGTGAGATACCATGAGTAATAATACTAATGACAAATATAATATGTTGATGTCTATGATATTAACTCTGAGATCAATGAAATTTTAGTTACCTGAACTTACGCTGTGTCTGCAAAACTGCTTGACAAATACATATGATGCTATTCAATGATGGTGCTATCTCATTGGTAACCATGTATGGTATTTAAAATAAGGTCCTTCTTTGTAATAAAAACACATACCATGGAGATGACCTCATAGGGCACGACACTATTTTGTATCACCTCTTAGATAACTATGTGTATTATGTGCCATATCTATGATGAACATGTGTGATGCTGTGCTGTATCTGTGAAATCTCTTGATGACAACATGTTTCCTATACTACACATCATCTCTCTGCAGTACGCAGACAATGCTACAGCAGTTTTTCCTCATCTGTGTAATGGCCACCTATGATGCCACATGTGTCTTTTTCCTGTCCCTGCCAATCACATGCCATGGTGCACCATGCCTTTGTTATATGATACCGTCATACAACGTGCGCCATCTCTACCTCAACTTGGAGCCACTGTGTATGAACCTACACTACCTTAGAATCCCCTTGTTGACGGTCATGGATGATGCTCTACTATTATGTCTCGTCCTGATTCTAAACTTGTGCCATCTTGTCTGAACTGTGTACATTTCTGATATTCACAGGTGACATGACATTGCATTTATGTCATCACTCTGATAAGCACATTTAACTGTAATCTATCTCTATTTCACCTTCCTTATGACCACACAAGACACCGTGCTATTTCTGTCCTCTCACACTGCTCACACATGATACTATGTGGTACCTGCAACAGCTCTGCAATTACTGCCTTTCTTCTCTATCTGTGTCACCATCTGTGAAAGCATGGCATGTCACACTGTGACTGTGTCATTGTTCCAGTAGTCATGCATGAGGGTCGGTGAGATAGCTCAGTGTACTAAGCACCTGCCGAGGCAAGTGCAGGGACAGGGGTTTGATCCTGGCATCACATACCATGTTGCCCCGCCCCCAGGTATACTGAGACAGCCAAGGATATCATGTGGTGGCTCACACTTGTAATCCCAGCACTGGGGAGGCTGAAAACAGGAGGATCACTATGAGTCCAAGTTGTGTAGTGAGACCGTGCACCAAATACATAAAAAAAAAAATCATCACACTAGGCCTGAGCTATCCCTCTGTTAAGAATGTATGGTGCTATGTATGTGCTCTGGTCCCCCTAAAGACCGCTCTTGCGTTAGCCCTTCTGAGTGCTAGGATCATGGCATGTGCCGCTATGCCCAGCTCACTTCTTAGTCTAACATTTTCCCCTCTGTCATAAACTATTTTTCCTAGCATTGATTCTGCCCTTTCTTTGTTCAATAAAATTTTACTATTTTAAAAAAAATTTTAAGTGCTTTTCAAGTCTCTTAATTCCATACTTCCTAAGAAACCTTGACTTTTAGATCAATCTTTGACCAATCTTTTTATTTATCTTTGCTCTTAATTCCCTTCTTAAAAGTTGGGTCTCATGCAATAGAGGTAATTGCTTATGTGAGTACATAAGTAGTTGTTTCTATTTCATATTGGAATTAACTTCAAGCCTCATGGTTTTATTTTGTGTGTGTTTGTATCTATTTTGCTTTTGTCTTCGAAATTCCAAGCCACATGACTTGTGTTTACTGAAATTTAAAAATATGCTTGTGTAAATTTTTTTATAAAATTTAAAGTAAAGGCTAGGCAGGATTTTCTTTTCTGTGTTACTCACAGATTCTTAAAACATTTTGGCCCTTTCCTTTAAGAATTTGGAACACCCAATGAAGTAAAAGTTGTATGTTTTTAATCACATGCATTCTAAAATGTCAGGGTTCTTGTTTTGTTTTGTTTCTTTTACTCTTATTTTCCTACTTCCTCTTGATGTTGACACTTACAGAAAGGTAAGTAAAATAGTGTGTTAAGAAATTTTACTTTTAAGTCAGTGCTGCAGTTTGTGATAAGAAATCATCTGACCAAATGCATTGTAACTTTTGTGGTTATAAATTCCCTGTTTTTTCTCTTCCAAAATGCATTTATCTTCTTTATACCTAATTCTACTGCCTTTCTTCTCTATATATATATATCTTCTTCATTCATCTACTGAGTCTACTGGCTATGCATTCATTCTTTCATCCCATCCATCAAGTCATCCATTCATCATTGCATCCATCTATGCATCCATCCATCCATCCATTTATGCATCCATGCATCAATCTATTCATCCATCCATACATCCACCCATGCATCCATGCTTCCATGCATCCACCCATGCATCCATGCTTCCATCCATCCACCCATGCATTCATGCTTCCATCCATGCATGCATCCATCCATGCATCCATGCCATCTATGCATCCATCCATACATTCATCCTTGCATCTATGCATCCATCCATGCATCCATGCACCCACCCATGCATCCATGCACGTATGCTCCATCCATGCACCCATGCATCCATGTATCCATCTGTCCTTGCATCCATGCATCCATGTATCCATGCATCCATGCATGCATGCATGCATGCATGCATCCATCCATCCATCCATCCCTGCATCCATCCATCCCTGCATCCATCCCTCTATCCAATCCTACATCTTTCTACTGTTTCTCTATGATGTTGTGGCACCTTCAGGTACTGGAACTATAGCAGCAAAGAAGCATTCTGTTTATCTTTCTGTGTAAATGGACTCCTGGAACCTGTCCTTATCTGTGTGCTTGTGGCCCATGCTCTCCAGCATCTGAGGAGCAGTGCACTGAGGCCCTGTGAATCTCCACTGAACAGAAAATCAACTTGGCATCTCTTGAGAGTCTTGTTGCTTGGCTCATCACCTGCCTCTTGTTCTGGTCTCTTTTCTCCCTTCAAATCTTTTTTCTTTCTGGATTCTTGTCCTGCACTTCCTTTTCTCTCTTGGAATCTATCACCTCTTTTAAATAAGGTCAGAGACTGAGAGGAACTCCTTTTCATACTCTTCTGTAGTGGGAGCGGCTTGCATTTGCAGGATTTATTGGCCGACTCTCATTACAGGTAAGAAGGTAAACTCAGCACAGAGCTTCTGTATGAGAGGACTGATATTTAGGTAATTCAAGGTCATTAGGCCAAATTTCATATATGTACATCTGAAGTTCTGATATGTATATATCTCCATCCCTCTCAAAAAGGAACAGCAAGAGTTTACTGTACAGCCACAAGAAAATGTATCTCCAAACTGGAAGGTCATGAAGGGGAAATTTCAAAGGTGAGTTGCTCTTTCGCTTGGAACAGTTTACTGACTTTGAAAAATTAAACAGCAGGTTCCATGTAAATCATTTTCTGGTACTAAAGTTTGTTCAGTTATATGATTTTTGCTTAGGAGCCATTTTGCTATATCCTTTCCTCAAATGTAATAATAACAAATGATTTCTAAAATGTTCTAAAACATTTAAAAAAGTGTACAACAGTGTCTATTCAACCATCAGTAGAAGTCTTATCTGACAATACACAATACAACAATTTGAGGCCATATAAGGTTCCAGAAAGCCCTGGTTGTAGTAAACACTCAAGTTTATTATGCCAAAAGCATTTTGTGTAGCAAGTATCAAATGTTTTGTGAATTAGATGTAACTGAGAAAATATTTCCTGGAAATACTCAATACTTAAAGTTTATAATTACCGATTTGGAAATCACAAAGCTGTGTCTTAGGATTTTGTGTAAACATTCCCCATGAGCTTATTCACAGAGTAGAGCCATATTTGTACTGTCAGAACATGGTAGAGTCCATGTGACTTGGGGTCTTTTGCCTCCTGACTTGGAAATTCTTGGTCTCATATCTGAGGTCATCTTCACTGCTTCCTTATGTATCAGCCTGAAGGTTTTGAAGGCTTCCTTTAGAACCTGGAGCTGCCCTGTGGCATACCCTTTCCTCTCTGACTTGAGGCTGAGGGCCAGGCCCTGTGACTGGTGAGTGCTGTAATGCAGCCCACATCCTTTCAATTGTCTGAGAGGCACAAGGATGGCAGGAGGGGCTGGGAAAGTGGGGCGTGGATGTCAGGGAGATCTGGTCGTGTTCCTGTTCCCAAGTGTCTGGCTGCTGACAGGTCTGGCATTTCCTCTTAAAAAGTACACATGAATACTTGTGAATGAGTGAGTCTAAACACATTCTTTGTTAATAAATTTTATGCTTGTTACATGAATATGTCACTTACGGAGCTTTCATGTGGTAGTGGTATTTCTATGGGGTTCAAAGCTATTCATTCATTCATTCATTCATTCATTCATTCATTCATTCATTCATCTGTCCATCCATTCATCCATCTATCTATTCATTCATTCACCATTCATTCGCTGACGCAGCAAATGCTTTTGGGAGTTTCCATTGTCTGGACATTGAGTGGGAACTGAGGAGACAGTGATGAGTAACAGACATGGCTCTCTATCCTCAATTTTTCAGGCAGAGGACAGGGCCAAAGATCATTGTCTCTTGATGATTAGAGAGAGAGATAAATGTGACTTTAGTCACTTTTCTTGTCACTGGGACAAAGATCCCAACACCAGCAACTACAAGGAGGAAAAGTTTATTTTGTCTTGGTTACAGTTAATGGTTGGTTGGTTCCGTGGCAGAAATGGATTGGCAGAGGGGGAATGGAGGCTGTGAAGTTGAGCAAGAGGGAGGAGGAGGCTGGGATAGAAATAGACCTTTCCAGGTCACTGCACCAGTGACTTACCTCTTCCAACTGTGCCCCCTCTGCTAACAGCAACTTCAGCAATAAATTCATCCTATGGATCAATCCACTATTGAGTATTGCATCCCCATGATCAAATCCCCTTCAAAAACTCCCACCTTGAACATATAGACCTATGCAGGATGACCTAGATCTAAACCAAATGAATGGGGATCAATTGGCATCTGACTACAGCTCAGATACCAGTTGACACTGCCTGGTACTTGGAGATGTTCAGACATAGTTATGGACAAAGAGCCGTGCACTGAGTAGTGATAGATGAAAAAGACCTGGACATGCCCTTATTCTACAATGATTCAGGGAGTCTGTGCTTTTAATTACCAAAAGTCATGTTGCAGAGATAGCATGGAGGTTTGCATGTGATAGACCCTGCCCTGGCTCTTTGTCCACAGGGCTCCTGTTGTCTCTACCAGGAAGAAAGGCAGCATGAGTTTTTGGAAAGAAGCTGGGTGGGAAATATTCAAATTATTACAGTGCTTTGGTCTTCATCCTTATTATTGGGAAGGGGGAGTGATTAGACTTTTCCATCTAAACCTCAGTGTTCATGTCACTATAACATTTTGGGCCTATGTAAGAATGAATAAGTACAAGACTGGGGAGATGACAGGTGCTTATTTATGTCCTGTTTGTGTTGATGAAAATTATTGAGAACATTGCACAAATGTGATTTGTCTTTCCTTCCTTCCTTCCTTCCTTCCTTCCTTCCTTCCTTCCTTCCTTCCTTCCTTCCTTCCTTCCTTCCTTCCTCTTTTCTTTTTTTCCAGATTTCTTTCAATCCCCAAGGGAATCGTCTTCTGACTGGCAGCTCTGACAAAACCGCTCGAATCTGGGACGCACACACTGGCGAGTGTCTTCAGGTTCTTGAGGGACATGTGGATGAAATCTTTTCATGTACTTTCAACTATAAAGGCAACATTGTCATTACAGGTAGGTGGGGCACTCGCCATTGGCCTGGCTTTCCTTGTAAATTGGCTGCTATAGTTGCCAAGGTGTGTTCTAAAAGGAGTTTTCTCCTACTGCCACCCCATTTCCAGGGTCCCTGTCTCATTTTTGCATGACATTCTACTCTCACTATTTAAGTTTAATTGTACCAGGGCCCACATGACATCACAAGACCTCATGAGTTCTGAATTTGAATTGCTCTAGATAAGCAATTTGGGAGCTTGCTTTGTGCTTCCGGGGATTAAAAGGTTAATATTTGGTTGATGTCAGTAAGCAGCAATCAAAATAAGTCAGGGTCAGAGTTTGCCACAGTTGGTTTCATGGTTTAGTAGAGATTTACTCTTGGAGCTAAGCTGCTTTCTCTATAGAGCTGTAGATATTTTCTGCTAAAGTGCTAATATTTTGGGAAAAGAACACGCATTGAGCATTTTTTCTATCATTTGTCACTTACTATAAATTATTCATAGTGACAACATTTTATAGTAAATGGATTTCGAGCAGGTTAATTTGCATCATGGCATTAATAGAAAGGTCATTGTTATGGCTTGTGTCTAGTTGCCCCCCCAAAGTCTCATGCAGTTATGGGGTGAACTTCTAGAGTTTGTGATGAACTCATGATCCACTGGGATTATGTGTGTGAGTGCTTCTGGGATTATGGGTGTGAGTGCTACACCCACCCTGGGACGGATACTCTGAGTGCAATTTAAAAGAGACAGACTTGCTCTCTGTTGCCATTGTTGCTGCCACTCCTCCCATTTGCCCCCCGCTCTTTGCCACTGCTGCTCTCTGCTCTGTGCCACTCTGCCTTGGAGCCAGCTGAGTATGGACTTAAACCTCCACTGACTGTGAGTTAAATAAAGCTTTCCTTCCCTAATTTTGAGTGTTGGGTATTTCTTCCAGCAATGAGAGAAGAGTAACCAAAACAGTCATGTTGCTAGATTGCTTGGTGCCTCTAGTAGGGGCTTGGCAAGGAACAGGTTCTGTGAGGGTTGGGGAGAGGATGCCCTAGGTAGGTGCAGAACACCAAATCTGCTCACTTCTCATTGATTTTCATTGTGTTGAGCAAATTTTAAAAAATCCAATGTTCCCTAATCAAGTTTGTGGCATGCTTTAGCTGATTAAGTGCCTGCCCAGTCATGTAATTTAAAGCGTGGTACAAATTAGCTCCTTTACTTCATTATGGGTAGATTACTGTCTTTGGGCTTATGATTTTCTTGTTAGATGAAATGTAAGTATTTAAAAAACACTAGCTTCATTGTCCACCTATTTTACTGCAAACACAATGTTGGACCCTTTCTCATGAGGGAGATGTTGTGGGGGACTGCAGGGGAGGAGGAGAGTGGCCAGCTTCCCTCTGCCTTGCCCTGTGCTTCCTGCGAGGCTGGCCCTTCCCTCAGCCGGCCTCACAGCAGACTCTGGGGAGTTCAGGAAGGAATATTACTTGCCTGTGCCTGGTTTAAATGCTGGCACTCAATTCCTGAACTCCATTAAGATATCATTGACTTTTTTAGTACATTTCAAATATAAGATGTTAAAATATACTGGGCAAAGGAACTCCTTAGAAAGGGGTGACATTTCTATCTTGTCACCAGTGGAGCAGTCACTTTATTTGAGTGCACCTGTCTTATTTTCCAGTGTACTGTGGTATCATGAACTACCTGCATTTTCTCAGGGGCTGTCTGAGGCTGGTTTAGGATCACCAATTGGCAGAAAAGCATCCAGTGTGGTCTTTATTTTTTAAAATATGAGATGTGCTCAAAACTTTGGGCTGTGCTATGTCTGCAGGCTTCCCAAATCCCTGTGCTCCGCTCTTATCCTGAGGCTCTGCTCTTGGTCCCCAAAGGCGAGAGAGCCAGAAGCATCCATTAAGAGTGAGAAAAGCCTACTGCTATTTTGAAATGCTCCCAAGTGCGATAGCCCACCTCCTGTGAGCTTGTCCTGGAGCTGTCCAGACCTCCCACATTCGCACTTGGGGGTGACGTGTAAGGGGAGGAGCAAGGGCTTGGCTGGCGTGGTGGTGACTTCTCCGGTTCTAAGATACCCTGAGTCCTGCTGGTGCGAGGAGACTGTGAAGCTGTTCATTGTAAGATGGGCCGATATAATAAAAACGAAATCCTTAACTTAAAATGTGTCTGGCACTAGTGAGACAATCTGATGCTTGCACATGCGGGTCTGATTTACTTCACTTACGCATATAGCCTCTAGTTGCTTTTACCTGTGAAAGTCTCGACTTTATCCTTCTTTATAGCTGAGTAATACTCCACTGCATAAAAATACCACATCTTTTGTCATCCATTGTTCTGTTTATGGGCATTTGGGTTGTTTCCAAGATTTAGCTAGGACAAATTATGCTGCTATAAACATGGGTGCATATAGGTCACTGTGGTATGATGTTTTCAGTTCTTTTGGAAAAATATCCAGGAGGGTAATAGCCGGATTGAATGGGACTTCTAAGCCTAGTTTTATGAGAACTCTAATCCAAAAGGTACACTAGATACTGTGGAAGGGAAAGAAACGGTCCAAAGGGAAGGAAGAACTAGAATGAGGGAAGGGAGAAAAGAAAGAAGGAAGGGAAATTATCTATGTATCTATGTATCTATGCATCTATCTATTTATCTAGACACATATAAACAGGATAGTTTTGATAATTATACTGTTGATTTCCACTGGTCTATTGTAAAGAAGAGTTAATGCTCAATTTATTTTTTCTTTTTAATTTTGTTTTGATTTTTTGACCAACACAAAATTTGCGGAGAGCTGGTCATCTCAACAGTAATTTGAAGACAACAATGTGCAACACAAGCACCATTGTTGAATTACTATCATCTTGTTTAATGAAATTACATATTGTTTCTAATTTTATGACCATTGTTATTCTCCTCAAAATATAAAAAAGATGAAGGTAAAAAGAAATGTCTGAGGTTCCTAGGGTCTCTATCGGGAAAAGGAATCTAGCACATTTAGGACATAGCTGGGTAGTAGTGACCTGGAAATTGTTGATTAGTGAAAAAAGGGTATGAAGGGGACAAAATAAAAATATAACCCTGATTCTTTTCTTACTAGGCAGCAAGGATAATACCTGCAGGATATGGTGTTGACGGGAGAAGTCCACCCTGAGCAAACTTGTAAGCAGCCGTGACCAAGACCCCGAGCTTCCCAGGACAAGCAGCTGTGTTCGTTTCTCACCCTTGTTACTCAGGCCCTTTGTCCTGAACTGGACGTATTTGACCATTAAAACTGGTGAAGTCTTGTCACGTTTTGATGTTGTTTGAAGCACATGATTTTATAATATTTAGGGAACGCCACTAGTTACTTCAGCTGTGTTTTATTTTAGCAGCATCGCAATGCTGATAAGTGAAAACGGGACAATTTAACAATCTGTTTCCCAGATTCTCCTGTCACAGCTAGCATTACAATTTCTGGAAAAATTACTTATGAGTTGAGTACCTATTCTGTGTTTTATGGTGATAAACGTAAAATAAAATGGTGTTTTTTAAGTGACAAAGAAGCAGGTTTATCTCTAAGTGACAGTTAAACACAATAGGCATTCCAACTACTGAACTTAAAAATCTTGGTGGAAAACAAATGAAATATGAGAGAAAATAATCAAACATCCATCTGAGTATAACTGGAATATTAAAAAGTAGTTTTATGGCTTTTTAAAAATGTATTTAGTATAGGGTCTATAGGGTCTCACCATACAGATTGGCCTTGTAGCGGTCCCTCCTGTTTTTCAGCCTCCCAAGTGCTGGGATTACAGACACGTGCCGCCACGCCCAGCCTCAGTGTACCCTGGGGGGGGGGTGGTCAGCATGGCAGACCAGGGATGGAAACCCCAGCTGCTGTGTCTGCCTAAGCAGGCCTTTTATCCACTGAGTTATCTGGCCAGCCCCTTAAAAAGTATTTTTAAAAGTTTACAAAGCTTCTTAAATGTGTATTGAACATTAATGTTAAATGTTAAAGCACAAGCTAAAATTAATGATGGCTAAATTTAGAACAAGACCATATATGAGAATCTTGCAGAATATTTTTTTAAAAATTTGTTGAGATACAATTAATAAAAGAAAAATTGTGTGTGCATAGTATATATACTTTGATGAGTTTGGCAGATGTATTTGCCTGTGAAACCACTAGCATAATCAAGGCAATAAACATATCTATGACTTCCAATGAACAGTTTTATTTTTTCTTTTGTAGTCTGAATACTTAACATAAGGCCTAACCTCTTAATGTATTTAATGGGTAGATTATTGTATTGCTAACTATAGGAACTACAGTTATTTTGTCTCTATTACTTATTTTTTTTAAAATCAGATATATTTATTTATTTTTTGGCAGAACCGGGGATTGAACTCAGGCCCTTGTGCTTGCCAAGGAAGCGCTTATTCCACTGAGCCATCTCCCCGGCCCTATTACTTATTTTCTTTAGTACAAGTAGTAACCTGTAATCTCATTATCAGTCTGCCACTGGAAACTGAAACAATTTTCCAGTCAGTTGTCCTGGCTTCCTCCTGCTCCATCATATTCTTTATTATATAGAAAAAACTCCAAAATTGATATATTGCATAGTTTGTAAGGGTTTTGCATAAACCAGTGCAGTTAATAAGTGGAAGGTATAACCCACATTTAGTAAGAAGGACACAGGTATAGCATTTGGGTTTTGAGTGCTTTCCCACTCTTCTCTACCTTCTCCTACCTTTCCCTCTGTGACACGTGAGTTCTTCTAAGAAATTCACAGGATGGGTATTGACCTAGCATGCTGAGTGAACATGATGCAGTTGTACAGTGGGCTTCCTAAGTCATGCATCAGCCAAAGCCACCCACTTTTCTCTAGTACTGAACCTTCTTCCTGTGTCTGGAGTTTCTGAGTGTGTCATCCAGAAGCTTCAAGATGAGCTTGTACATAGCGTACTATAGGGGCCGTAGGCGTTAAACACAGCATTGCTACCATTTTGCTATTTATATACAGCAAAATAACCCCTGCGCGAACATTAGCTTTTGTATGTAGAAAACAACAAATGCTAATTTATACCAAGAATAATAGTTCTCTGGATTCTGTTTATGTTTTCATTCCTAAATAATGCAGCTTGAATTATAAAGTAGGTTTTAGTGATTCCATAGTTATTTTGTGAATGTCACTCCAGTGGTCAAATGTTTGGTAACCATCTTTTGCTTAAGAAGACACCATGTGCCAAAATAAATAAAGAAATAAATAAAAATAAAAATAAAAAATACAAAAAGGGACCCGGGAGATGGCTCAGTAGAATAAGTGCTTCCCTGGCAAGTGCAAGGGCCTGAGTTCAATCCCTGGTTCAGAAAAAAAAAAAAAAAAAAAAAAAAAAAGACTATGGTTTTCCTTTAATTGAACAAAGTACAAGGTTTTAATCCATGTGAATTAAAATTTTTAGATGACTGTGAAAAAAAAAAAATGAGCTTGTGAATGCCATGCCGGCAAAGGCGAACTGAGACAGCAATTGAGACTGGGCATGGTGGCGCACGACTGTAATCCCAGCTCTTGGGAGGCTGTAAACAGCTCTAGGAGGATCACTATGAGTCCAACCTAGAGACCCTGAACACCCAGTAGACCCTTCCCTAAAAAACCAAAATTACAAAAAAGAAAAAAAAATGAGCTTGTGACTGCTCTGCAGACCCGCAAGAGATGGGAATTCTAAAAAAGCCATGTGGAAGCTTACAGTGCAGCTGGCGGAAGATGCTGCTTGTGTTTTTGCCTTTGGGGAAAGGGTGGACGTGGCGCTTCGAGCAAAGTTGCCTTTGCAGGTCCTTTCTTGGGATATTAATCAAGTAACTGCCATGACTGACCAGATGTTCATGTATTTTCCTGAACAATGAAGAGAATATCACTTGTCCTGATGACAAGTGGAGTGCGTGTGGCTTGCCTGCTTCTATTTGTTCTCTTATCTCAGCAGGTGGCAGTATTTGTCTTTGGCAGATAAATTCTTGTTTTTTGTACAGCTGTAAGTGAAGAATAGGAAGAGAAAAGGTTTTATTCTGCAACCCTCTCAGACCAGGGTTATGTGGGGATATAGAACAAAGTTCTGATGGTGGTATGGTTTAGGACCATCTTGGCAGATCTAGGGCAAATGAGGGATCTCATTAATTCTGTTGTACTACATGGACATTTGCCCCTCTACCTGCAAGGACACGGACCACTAAGGTGAATGAGAGGTGGTTTTATTTTTTCATAAAGGCCCCTTTGCTGGGAACCAGTTCATAATAATTTGTTTTATAATGGCATAGTCTAGGGGCTGGGGAGATAGCTCGGCAGTCTAAATGCCTGCCTGGCAAGCATAAGGACCTGGGTTGGATTCCCTGTACCACATGTTGTGCTGGCCTCAAAACCAGGTGTGGTGGTGTGTGCCTATAATCCCAGCACTGGGGAGTCTGAGACAGGAAGATCACTATGAGTCTAAGTGGCATAGCGAAACTCTATACCAAATAAATAAACAAAAGATTAAAAAAATAATGAAGTAGTCTATCAAGGAATCTAATACTCATTTATGTCTTTAGATACTAATATTGATTGGAGTCAATGTAAATTATTTAACGCTTTAGTAAAGTTTATCATAACTTCAGTGGGTTGAGTGTAAATACCATGAGCACTTTGAATTTCATTATTTTTATGAAACTAAACCTGAAGGGTTAAAATGATTTGGTTGTCAAAGATAAATGCAATCACTGACCAGATTTAAACATCTATTTACCCATAAGCTGTGGCAGGAGATGTATCACCCTCTGCCACTGTTGTTACAACACATCAGAGATTCAAAGGGGCGTCAGTTTATGGAGCAGTTCAAAGAAGATGTACTGAGTTCAGTTTTCTGGAATTTTCACTGGAATATTCTGTTTGTAGCTTTGGAAGCAGGAAGACCTCCCACCTGTTCTTCATCTCTTTTTTTTTTTTTTTTTTGGTGCCAGGGATTGAACTCAGAACCTTGGGCTTGCAGGGAGGTTCTGAGGCCACTGAGCTATCTCCCCAGCCCCCCACCTGACCTTCAGATACATGCAGTCATCTTCATGTGGCCGTGAGGACATAAGATAGTATTTTGGGATTTTATGCATACACACACACCAACACACGTGTGTGTTCCCATTTCTGAGATGAATAGATCAATATTTTCTTATCAAACTTTCATAATGAACCTTGTCTGAGTGGGTAGAGAGATAGCTGCCAGGGATAGCTAATTACGGATGAGCAACAGTATTTTGGCGATTGAAAATTCGGACCCTGGAATCAGAATACCTGTTGTCTCATCCTGCTCCACCAGTTTTTGGCTCTGTGACAGTGAGAGTTCAAACAGCTCATGAGAATGTTATCTTTGGAACTAATAATAGTATGGAGGAATTGGGTGGATGAAATGAATTACTAGATGCACCAAGAGCCCGATACATAGTTAGCACTCAATGGCAATTATGATTTGCAGACACTGTTTAAAGGGCTTGGACTTAATGAATTTAAGATGTAGGAAAGAATCTCCACATTTCAGGCAATTTTCTCATTAATCTATTATGTCTCAGATAATCCCTGCTTAAAATGTTTCAGTTCTCCCTTTCTTTGGAAAGAAAAAAGAGGTTGAAGAAAAAGGAGGTTAAATGAGAGTTTTGCGTGAACACCTCTCATGAATTTTTATGCATTCAGGGATGGGAGGTCTGGGTTCGTGTTCATGAGTCTTAGTCCAATTTCTCGGTACCTTTTCGCTGACAGTTCTGAATTTCTTTTTTCTCTTTTTAATATTTTATTTTTTCATTATTATTTTAAAATCATTTTTATTTATTTGTGTATTTGGTACAGGGTCTTTCTATGCAGCTTGGACTCAAAGTGATCCTCTTGTTTCAGCTTCCCCAGTGCTGGGATTACAGGCATGCACCACCACTCCCGGTCTCAGTGGCTAGCACAGTGTGCCCAGGGAGGGGCCTGCATGGCATGTGGTACCGGATCAAACCCTGGTCCTTGTGCTTGCCAGGAAGGAACTTAGACACTGGAAGCTGTGAATTTCTCTTCTCTTCTCTTCTCTTCTCTTCTCTTCTCTTCTCTTCTCTTCTCTTCTCTTCTCTTCTCTCTCTCTCTCTCTCTCTCTCTCTCTCTTTCATACAGGGTCTATAGGGTCTCACTATACAGATCAGACTCATAGTGATCCTCCTGTTTTCAG